CAAAGTCCATCGGCTTACTAGCTGTTTGAAGTAACCATTTGATAAGTTCGACGACTTTTGCTAGAAAACTGACCGAAATAGTTACAAAATTGCTATAAACTGCATTTTCATGGGTTTTTGACCTTCAACAATTTTGTTTTGAATCGCTTTCAAAATGATAAGATCGAAGAATTCCTGCAATTCTCTAATGTACTTCTTTTGAAATTTCAAATAATCCTGGAACTTCATAAAACACTAAGTATGTGCTATATACTGCCCATCTGGTAATAAGAATCGCGCCTCTTGACATACATCCAAACAGACCCATGAGCTTCTTGCGACAGGAAATCATCTTTGCTGAAAATTCTGGCCTTCTGAACTTTGCAAAAACCACACTTTTGTCCCTAGAAGCAAAAAACAGGGAGCTTGATCTCGAGGGAAGAAAAGACTCAGGGCTCAGGCAGCAAGATATTTGCGCTCAAAGTTTTTGGGTGTCAATATTTGATTATACAGAAACTTGCTGGAAAAATTACCCTTCTTCTCAACCATACTTCTGCTAAAAGCGGAAGCATAAGGAGCTTGGTTTCGAGGGAAGGAAAGAACTAGGGTTTTATGCGACAGGACAGTTTCGGTAAGATTGTCCTTCAAAAGAAGACGCTGGGCCAGCTTCTGTTCAAGAAATGAGCCCGTTCACTGGCAAGACATCATCGAAGAAAATGCTGCTTCGTTTTTACCGACCTTTTTTTATCTGAGTTTTTGGCTGCTGGAAGACATAAATTGACGCTTCCTTTAACATGGCACTTTCCTGGAAATCAATCTGAGCTTTGGGATGAATCAGCTGCTCTAAGGGTTGTTTCATACTGCCGCACTGACTGCAGCAGTCTGCACTGACCGCAGCAGACTGCAGCATGCTGCAGTCAGTGCGGCAGTCTGAAACAACCCTAAACAGGTGCTTCGAGGTAGCTTCCTTGTTTAAGAGCTGTGGTATCTGGGCAAAGGTATGTGCAAGAAAACAGCAAAGATGCTTTGCGCATAGTCAGTGGTAGTAGCTTCTTTTCCTAAGAGCATAGTGTTTTGTTTCTACTACTCACAACATGCGAAAGGTCGCTGGGAAGATGAAAATTCTCTTTCTTGGGATTTCAATTAATTAATGGCAGATATCAATGTATCTGCTCCCACCCACCTACTAGCGACCCGTAGGGTCGCTAGTCTTATATATAAAGCTGAATGTCTGTTTGTATGTCTGTCTGTCTGTATGTCTGTACGTATGTTCCGAATAGAAAATTCCATTTCTGAACCGATCCGGACCAAACTTGGCACACATACACTACGGGCCCCGGCGGGTGTCATAGGCTACTTTTCGTCATCGATCGATATCGATTTTATCGATTTTTATCGATTTTTTTGCTGAGTTCACCTACGGGGCTGGGAGTTGGCACAGGGGGGTAATCGAGCATGGGGATTCCGAATACAATATTGGTTTTCAGGATTATCGATTACTTTTATCGATTTTATCGATTTTTTTGCAAAGTTTGAGCTACGGGGCTGGGAGTTGGCACAGGGGGGTAATCGAGCATGGGGATTCCAAATACAATATTGGTTTTCAGGATTATCGATTACTTTTATCGATTTTATCGATTTTTTTGCAAAGTTTGAGCTACGGGGCTGGGAGTTCGCACAGGGGGTAATCGAGCATGGGGATTCCAAATACAATATTGGTTTTCAGGATTATCGATTACTTTTATCGATTTTTTTGCAAAGTTTGAGCTAGGGGGCTGGGAGTTGGCACAGGGGGGTAATGGAGCATGCTGATCACCCCCAAATGGGGTGATCAGCATGCTCGATTACACCCCTGTGCCAAATTCCAGCCCCCTGCTCAAACTTTACAAAAAAATCGATAAAATCGACAAAAGTAATGGACGATCCTGAAAACCAATATTGTGTTCGTAATCAGCATGCTCGATTACCCCCTGTGCAAAATCCCAGCCTCGCATGTCAAAATTGACAAAAAAAATCGATAAAATCAATAAAAGTAATCGATAATTCTGAAAACTAATATTGTGTTCGGAATCCCCATGCTCACTTCCCCCCCCCCCTGTGCCAACTCCTAGCCCTGTAGGTGAACTCTGCAAAAAAATCGATAAAAATCGGTAAAATCGACATCGATCGATAACGAAAAGTGGACTGTGACACCCGCCGGGGCCCGAAGTGTATGTGTGCCAAGTTTGGTCCGGATACGGCGGAGCCGGGTAAGCCAGCTAGTAAGTGAATAAGAACTCATTCTCTTTCCAAGGCAACAAGGAGTAGCAAGTTACTTCAAAATTCTCATATCTCAGCCGGGCACAATCATATGTGTACAGGATTCCAGTTTGTTTGGTCAGTGCATAACATAGTTTAAAACCGAACCCATATCAAAAAAATATACTTGCAAACATTATGCTTTATAAACAGAAATGGGACGTTGATGGTTTGTCCAAGTATAGGAAAGTTGCTGATTCTAACTTTTTTTAGCTTTTTTCTGCTTGCATTAGAATCAAGCAGACAGTTGTATATCATCCATAGAACTTACTAAATGGACTTTAATAATTTGCTGCCTAAATATTTACTCAAATGACTTCGAAGGGCTCTTCAGAATCGTAGGATAAGCGTTTCATCATGCCATGTTTATTGTTTGTCTTTTATTTTCAATCGCATTGTTTAGTACTCATGCGATACCTTAGCTATGACAAATCATACATGATTTGAAGCATCGTAGACTATTTTTCCCATTCGGGATCCTTGTTATTATTAGGTTGTCCGGAAATTAATGCCCGTTTTGAATTTCAACCGCAATAAGTCATACACTTCTCATTTTCAAATAGATTGCGAAGTACCAATGGATAGAGCAAATCAAGCTCTACAAGATGACCATCTTGCTTTTGCAACAGCTCTCATCCACCTCAAGCTTCGGGCCCAAAACTAAAAATACTCAGCAGCCCGAAAAATCGAAAAAAATCGTAACTCGGTTCACAAAAGTCCTACAAAAATTCTTACTTGCTCACGTAAACACTATCCACATAAGACATCTATATACGCCTTTGCCGTATTTTTTCCTTTGTTAAAAATCGAGAAAACGGAAATTTTTTTGCTTTTGCCAAAGTGATGCTGTGCCGTCCCCACATAGGTAGTTGTATACCAAGAGCCTGTAGAAGTACAGACTTAACTTTTCAGCTCTCTACAAGCTTTAGTTCTCGAGGAATGCCGAATATAGCTTTTCCTAGTTAGGTGATCCAAGCAAAAATTCAAATTTCTCGAGAACTAAAGCTTGTAGAGAGCTGAAAAGTTAAGTCTGTACTTCTACAGCCTTGTGCTATACAACTACCTATGTGGGGACGGCACAGCATTACTTTGGCAAACGCACAAAAATTTCCGTTTTTTTGATTTCTAACAAAGGAAAAAATACGGCAAAGGCGTAATAGATGTCTTATGTGGATAGTGTTGTGAGCAAATAAGAATTTTTGTAGGACTTTTGTGAACCGAGTTACGATTTTTTTCGATTTTTCGGGCTGCTGATTCTTTTTAGTTTTGGGCTCGAAGCTTGAGGTGGATGAGAGCTGTTGCAGAAGCAAGATGGCCATCTTGTAGAGCTTGTTTTGCTCTATCGAATGGTACCTTGCAATCTATTTAGAAATGAGAAGTGTGTAGCTTATTGCGGTTAAAATTCAAAACGGGCATTAATTTCCGGACAACCTAATACTTCTCTTTCACAACCACATGACTTCGCTGCATAGCTTAATAACACTCTTGGTATTGCGTGAGTCTGACTACAAACTTACGATTTTAGAGTGTTTTCAGTTTTTGTCAATTATGCATGTCTCATCTATCAAATTAGCCGACGCCATGCGTTGTTCTCAGCATTCCATCTCCATATTTTTCTTTTTTGACGCCACGGAGATAATCTAAACTAACATTATTCAACTAGAGTTTACTCTCATGGAATTATGATGTTAGAAGGCATCAAACTCCTTACAATTTCTTGAAGTTGTAGAGCGTTACTTAGAATGCGAACTCTTGGCGCCATTTAAATCATCTCTGCTTTTCTTGTGTAAACCACACTTGCTCTTCATGATTGCAGTACTAATTTTTTAGAAACTCTTTCTCCCAACTTTTACGAGTTTTCTATGAGTTCCTCAATCTTCTAGTCTCGCGTTTTTCTCCGCAGCTTGTTCAACAATACTTTCCGAATCGTATATGATAACGTGTTCGGGTACTTCTGCGTTATCCGGAGCCATTCTTTCCTGTTCTCATGATACGCTTTAGCCAAGGAATTTTTTTTTTTGAATAGAGACTATGAGGACTGTCTCCTTGCACCGTGTCAGGATAAAAATTAACATGCTTTGATTAAGTTTGTCATATTTTTTTTTACAAAACCTCCGGTTTTAAAAACTACCAGAACTAGGTAAGGACAAAATGACTTTAAAAGCTGTTCACCAGCCAGGAATATTATAAACGATGGCTCAAGGTATCTGAGTGCCCCTTATTTCGTCGCTTAGAGGATCAAATGATAACTCATTTCTCTCTACTGGGCAAATCTAATGTGTTCTTTAAAACAGGATGTTATTAGTATAATGTTGATGCTGATTTTTGAAACTTTTGAATGAAAATGGGGTCATTATTGATCACAAAACAGATTAAATTTACACCGGTAAATTAGGCTAAACAAACTATTGGTGGAACCGTTGAACATGTAGATGACTCTGTCAATATTTTTTGACACGTGGTTTTGACGTTGACACTCCGTACTGTCGAGTTTTGAATTAAATTCTGGAAATGATAAAAAGCAATATCTACTCTCGAAAATATGGGTCCGGACAACGTAAATTTACCCGTCATGATTCTGGCTACTTATCTTTTTCTCAAAATCAAAACTTCTAGCGTTTTGGAAGTGATTTACTTTAGATACGTACACATACATGAACAATCTTTACTCAAAGCCAAGACGAAAACTTATATTCACTTTAGCTAATGTTTCTGTATTTTAGGCATTCTCCTTCTTCGTTTGTAACTGACTCCGGTATTTCCGATGAAGAATACTCTTCTGATACAACTGAAGCGCATGGAAGTGTGGCACAAGCTTCCACTGAGGTAAGCAAAGACCGTATATAAACTTCGTCAAAATCTCCGTTTTAGAGTTCTTCTCAGGAAGGATCGGGCTATATTGTGGAGAAGAGTACAATAGAACCCCTAGCTCAGAAGATAATTGTTGACTTTGAGTGTGGATCAAACTTTTCTCTCTGTTGAGATCATCCCCGCCTGGCCTTAAATGATGTACAACTTTTTTTCTAGCGTGCTCCACTAATTACTCATTATCTAACTCTTTGGTGTACGTTGGTGAATCAACACACGGTGACATCTTTATAGCGCATTATTAGCTGCTCCCACGGCTATTATCAACACCAATCCTGGTCCTTGATCTAATCTGTAATGATGGTTTGATGCTGTGTTGACGCCCCTTTATTAATGAGTTTTTCTTTTGAAAGTTTGGAAAATCTAAAAATAATTATCACATTACCTACATCCAAACCGGAGCAGCATAGTCTAGGCTAAATATCTGCAAATTCGTGCAGTTTGATAGGTTGTCTTTTTCATCCTAACATCTGATTCACATGAAACTAGCTTATGTGCTCTAAATTTTTATAGTAGTTTATTTCGTCATACCGGTGCTTGCACGTATATGAATGCAAATGAAGTATTGCAAAAAGGCACATCCTCAAAAGAGTCAAGAACTAATTTTTCTTATGTTTCTGTGTATCCTCATATTTCGGTCTACATTCATGCATTACATGTCCCCACGCGTGTAAGAATTTTGCTGTGTATTTACATCATATCATACATCATATATTTACATCATATTTTTGACGTATTTCTGTTCGTCCCCTATGCTCATCATACTTGCCCTTTTTGCATCAAACTTTATCAAGCAGCTCGCTTACAGCTATAGAGCTGATCGCAATAACTTTTATCATGCATTCAACGTCTTCAAGTCCTCCACACTTTCTGCGCATGCATTATATCTCACTTTGTACATCAAATTTTTTGTACATTCCATTTGCTCACTCCTATATTTCTGCCTTGGAACGTACTACGTCTCTAAAGTATGTTACTATCTGGTAAGGCATTTACTTAGAGATTCATTTTAACTTATGTGTAATTACCTTATTGTGATTATTGTTGTGTGAAACATTTAATAAATTACATTGAATCCACGTTAACTGAAAACAATCATTTCCTGAGAGTATTTTCATTTGGCGTCAGTAATACCACACAAACAAGGAAAAAGATGTATATTTTTTGATTCAAAGAAATTGGCGGCCGGAAGGCGACCGCTCGCACCCGCGACGACGCAGTCTGCGTCTCTCCTGCGAACGTGCCCTCTCATTCCCTAACCTTAATTAGATCACGAAGCCCCGCTTTCCAGCCGCCAGTCCAGTTGAATTAAAGGGTACAGTCAAACCAAAAGCTCCCTTTAAAAGTTTGTTAAATTTTCCCTTACGTTCAAAATCTTCCACTCAGACAATCGCCGGGGGCGCGGTCCGCAAGCTCGCGGTTTCTTGCAGGCGGTCAACAGAATTTTGGGAGTAGCCAAACCTTCAACGAGGGCACTTCCTTTGCTGTCGCATGCTTTGTCAGCGGGCAGCAATACAGAAGCCGATGGTTTAACCATGAGGTATCTCTCTCAGCGGAAGGTACCTAGGGCTGTGCGGTCCTCCACAAAGAACCCGTGTGGCCCTCAATAATTTTGCATGTTCTCGCGGAAGGTTCGCGAGAATGCGGCCACTGCGACGCAACTAAACTGTGGAAAAGCCGCAGTTGTTCTCTGTGCACTAGTCTAGAATTTGGCCGACATTCTTCCGGATATCTGCAAGCGGACCGCAAGACAGCAAACTATTTTTCCAGTGCCCGCTTGCCCGAAAATCGCATGGCCGCCTGTTCCGACAATTATCTAAGCAAGTACAGAACGGCTCCTCTCAATGCTTTACGATGAAAACAATGAGTTGGCCGTTTACTCCAGTGGACTGCTAATTGATCCCAAAACGAGGAATAACCTTATGGCGGTCGGTGATATGCGCCCATTTATGAATTATATTCCAAAGTACCGAACGAGTGAAGACGAATTCGAAGTACTAGCTTTGCTCAGTACCAATTTTTTCACTTCCGATGTGCGGAATTGACGCAACTCCTTCAGTTTCTCGACTGCTTTAATCTTGTTGAGAAACCACTCCTGAGTTTAAAGGTGGTGCGGCTAGGCTTCAGACCTGGATTGCAATCGATAATCACTCCATTGAAAAACTACTTTCAGTAATCCACCATTGTTGAGAAACCACTCCTGAGTTTAAAGGTGGTGCGGCTAGGCTTCAGACCTGGATTGCAGTCGATAATCACTCCATTGAAAAACTACTTTCAGTAATCCACCAGAACACACACTAGGAAATAAATCATTGAGTTTAAACTACAATCTGAACGCAACGCAACGAAAATTCACCAAAACAATAGGAGACAACTGAGCTGTTTCGCCGCTGCAACACATAGCCTTTTGATAAGGTGCCAGCAAAGAGATGTTTCGCAGCGATTGCGGTTTGCGAGGTTACTAATTCTCCGAATAGTGAGGCAGGGCTGATAGCATCCATTTCTCAAGGAGAGTCTTGCATTGTGAGCCAAGAAAAACCTTTTGTTAGTGCCAAAAAATTGAATTTCCAATGTTCTTTGCATCTCTTTTTATACGACGAGTATTACATCATTCCGTGTCTCTTTACCATTCGACTCCAAGACTTGACGAACAACAGATAATTTTTATTTCCAAGCATATGAAAGTGAGCTGCAAGCTTTGATAATGTTGAATTCTCGCTCAAGTGAGGGAAGTTGGAAGAAAGGTGCCATTTTATTCAGAGATGGTGATATCAAGTATTACCTTGCTAGCACAGGTCACCCAGTGATTATCAGGAAATAGAGCAAACAGACTGCAAATGCAAAACGCTGTTGTGATTCTACAATCTCCAACGCTGGAAATCTTCAAACATAAATGTTTTCGCAAATCTACAATGAGCGGTCAAAATCATTTGCCATTATTATTAATATTGTTGCAGTACCCTATAAACATGCAAAAAGCGTGCTACACATTTGAGAAAGCAAGTATATAAAAAAAGTTCATATTAGGGCAGCTACCTCATCAAAATGTGAAGCCAGCGTTGTTTTGTTCAGCAATTGCTGACTGTTTGAGATTCTCGATTACAGCCGCTTGATCAACATATTCGAATACATTGGGTGCGGAGAAGAGCACACCCATAGTCCCACCGGTTGTCGCTAAATTGTTCTTTGAGAAATGACTCAGTGTAAATCAAACCCACCTGCAAAGAATATATACAACAGCAGACGGTCCAGTACCATAGAAACGTACTTCCATTCATCGCATTGCTGTAAAAGTTTGGATTGAACAACTGTTCACTCAATCTTTTGAGAAAACAGTTTTTGCTGAAATAACCGCTCAAGCGGTTGACTTCAGCACAAGAAAATTATTGAACGTCTTCGAGAAATGGAAAACCAACTCTTTTATAATCATTATCTCTTGTAAGATGGCGTGTGATGTATTCGATTGCTTCCATCGCCTGTTTAGCTTCACTAGAAAAAGCAGGATCTTCTTGAGTACGCGCATCAAGCACCTAAATAATGTTCTTCTGTGATGTTATAGCCTTCGTAGTATTTTGTTTTCCTCGCGAACATCTTGCAAAACCTTTTAAATCTTCTGCTTGACTAAAAATCAAAACGCTTCGTTTCAAAATCTAAAATCCCTTTTTTTGCAAGTTTAGTAAGGTTTGTGCAGATAGTGCTGCGAAAAGCGTCTGTCATGATTTTTCTGAAATCCTTAAAAAGTTGCGGAAAATGAGTCTGTCGTATGTACTTTGATTTCGTAATATGTCAAACCATTTCGTAATGGAGTTTATATCCCACTTTTCTTAGGACGCTGTTAGTAAACAATTCTATTTAAAACAAAGAAGCCATAATTTTGAGGATGAAGGAATGTCGAAAGGAAAGAACAAAAAATCCCATATTGGGATTTTGAAATCAGTATGTATGGGTTGGGCCAAACTACGCTGGGAAAGCAGCGTACGCGACGTACGCAGCGTACTCTCGATATGTTTCATCATAGGAGCGTACGCGACGTACGCTGCGTACGCCGCGTACGCCGCGCAGTCAGGCCCAACCCTATCCTCCCTGACATTAAGAAGCATAAAGAGTTCTAATATGTGTGTGCAAAAATGGTTTCAATAGATTCTTAGGAACCTGTCACACTTCGCCCAAAAGCGCTCGAGAGCGCCCAAAAGCGCCAAAACGCCCCTTTCACAAGCTCGACTCTTGGCGCTGGAGCATTAGTTTTGGAAAATTGTTTAATACTAGAACAACTACGTTCGATCGCATTTATCATGACACATGTTTCAATCGCATTCAGAGTCGGTTTAAGCTTCACCATGACTGTTCTTGCTTTTCAAACGCGACGTACGGTATTTGCATACACGCTTTTATTTTTTTTGGTTACAACCTGCATCGTTTATAATCGTTGCGCGGATTAAAAACCTTGCGACTTCAGTTTGCTGAGATAATTTGTGAACAGTTCGAACTGCGGCTGATGTCATCATTACAATTCTTAGTCTTCCTTTCAAGAGACAGCGAGTTTCTCTTCCGCTAAAATAGTTGTAGTGTTGACTAGTGTTTTCAAAAAGGCGCGCCCCAAAAAGAGGCATTTCGGCGCTTTTGGACGGTTTTGAGCGCTTTTAGGCGAAGTATGGCAGGTTCCTTAACACAGTTTTTTCGTATGTGATCTACAGTTTACCTCTTCTTGTTTTGTCGATGATGCTTGCGCTTCTTCCTAAAAGTTCAACCTTGTTTATAGAGCTTTTTCGTCTCAACACTCCATACCACCTCCACTTCTGCTGAACCATTCGACCTTGCTATTCTGAGATCTGGATGCCTCATGGAACTCAGCACTCCACGTAGTCCCCTCCGCTCTTTTTTCGCTTCTCGAGCTCGTTTTAGCTCTAGTTCAGTAGATTCTGGTCTGCGCATGATCAGAAGCAAAGGAAGGTGCTCAAGATGTAAATTGCATATAGAGTCATCACGAAGCTGGACAAAGTTTACCTTCAGAAAAAGAGTCCTAACCCAGTTTGGCATGGTATGTGTTGCTGGTCCACGAAAATAGACATTGATGATAATTACCGTAACCTGTGTCATAAAATATTTTTTGTGATTTTACAGAGTTTGAGTTTGAGTGGAGTTTGAGTTTACCATTATAGTGATCATGTTCATAACAAAGGTCATCAGCAGGTACTTTGCCATGAGTGGAATATTCGAAGAAGTCGGAGGTAAAATCTGCAGTAACTTATAAATTTTTCAGACTGCTTAAATGAAACCGATTTCACCTTCGACACTAGCAATAGGAAAACCACCAAAGCGAGAAGAATGCTTATAGCCAGCGTAATTTTTTCGGATGCTTCACACGGCAAGTAAAACACCATCATTGAAAGGAAAGCCATTAACACTGTCGGCATTATCAAAATCACAGTGTAAAACAAAGTTTTTCTGAAAGAACATGTGCAGAGTATCATATTTGTAACTACTCATATTTTGGGTTTTTGAATTTATAAGTTACATATACTAGGTTGGAAAGAAAGTCTCGGACATTTTTAGAACTAATCTTTATATCTCAATATCTAATGCATGTACATGCTGCAAAAATTTGCAGCTGTATTCTCACTGCCTGTAGGTGTATGTACCTTGAGCGAGTGGGAGGAGCCTGGCATCAATGGGGTAAAATTTGCTACTTGGATTACCTGATTTTCTTGTTGTTTAAGCTCAAATTCATCTGGAACTGTGCATGTAAGTATGTAGGTATGTGTATACCATAAACTAGAGCACGTCGGGGTTTCATAACTTTTATAGAAGTTGGAGATCTGGGTCAGGGCAAAACCTATGCTATAGAAATTTTGTTTGGATTTCACTGAGAACATTGATAAGGCTTGCGCTTATCAAAATTTTGTAGAGATTGCTTTCCTCTATCCAATGGTGTGCAGCAAGCCCCAATCACTGCTTACATCGAAACAAAAACTTTGTTTAAAGGCAATGTTGTTTAAAGGCAATGTCCGAGAAATTTCTTTCCAACCTAATAGGTATCGTCTTACCGGCGTACGTAGGGTAGAGCATTTGCAGACATTTGAACATGTTGATGAACTTGTCAAACCTTTACTGCAAAGCATGTTCTTTGTACAGTCGCTTCATCTCATATGATCATGTGTGCCATTGCACACACAGTCCACTTTGGCGTCCTCATCCTGGATTTGCAATCGCAAAAACGCAAGAGACTTACCGATTCTTATCGATTACATCAATTTGAGGTGACTAGTAACTAAAAAGGAAAGAAAATGCTAGGAACACCTTGCAAACACTTACCAGAAGGCTTGTTTCTCCCATGAATCCAGGATGGGGACGCCAGAGGTGAACGGTGTGTGCAATGACACACATGATCATATGAAATGAAGCGACTGTACTATCTAAACTCCCACGTATATATGCTGCTGTCACACTGGCATTTTTGACAGCGGAAGATTATAAAAAACAATGCCTTGCATTAGCGGTTTAACAGTTCACCAACGTTCAGGTGTCTGCAAATGCGCGCCCGACGTAACGGGGAAGGCGGCTATATTGCCAGACGAGACTAGGTCACGTTTTTCTTTTTTTCCACTCTGCTTTCCAAGCTCCTAATATGTCTTAATCACCTTCTTATTCTAATTTGATATGTTATCTTAGATCTATCTTCAATAAGTAGCCCTGGAACTTCCATCACATCCCATATACCGCTAAACGAGTAATCATTCAGCTCCACCTAAAAATCATCATTCGTAGCATTTTCTTTTTTATTAAAAAAGAGTTCGTAATTCGTTTCTTGAAGCTATACCTGGCGTTTCCCCATGTGATAAGTAATCTGCACCTCTTCCTTTTTGAATGTCCATGATCCAAACGTGAGTGAACAGACTTGCTCTATAAAAAAGACATTCTTTGATTGACTCGTTCTGCTGGCATGGTGTAATTCCACCCACCATCAAATGGAAAATATTCGACATCAATAATACAGCTGGACTTGTAGACGGCAGGTGGCACCCATAACATTTCTCCGGTGTGTTCCACGACAACATTAGAGTAAAACGAGACCAAATAGTTTCCATCCGCACTGAAATAGGTGAAATTTCTTGGAAAATCCATATTAATAGCAATGTTTCAGTAAATCTGTGCGTAGAATTTATGTGCAAAACTTTCGTCGCAAGTCCGAAATGCGAGCGGCTCGCCCGGAGGGAGCGCTGCAGGCGTCGCCATAATCGGTGCGCCTATTATGTTCGCGACAGGACCACTCCTGCTGAAAACGCGACCAACCTGAAGGGTATATACAGGCGCGCTGATGACGACATCTTCCTTTTTGAATTTCTTATTGTTGACTCGTTGAGCATTGTGTTTGACGGCGTTTCCAGCCGCTCTCGCAGAAAAAGTTCGTGCGCAGTTGTAGGAATTCGTACATAATTTACTCGTTAGCCGCGCATGTGTTGAGGAGTGGATAACGAATGACTGCTTCGAATAGACCCGCCGAACGACCCGTCGGTGACGCACGCATAAGTGCTATTTGTGTATTGTTCGGTTCTCGAGTACTCGGCTAGGTGTGCTGAGCCCACTGACCCGCAACACCTTTGATTAAGCCATTTTCAGACTTGCTAATAGATTCACTACGTAACATACAATGAATTCGTTGTTTACCGCTTGGCCATCCCTGATCCGTGAATTGCGGCAAACGAGGAGACAGCAGACGGATGAATTATGATGAAATGTACAGATGTTCATTCTTGGATTGCTGCCAAGTGGCAGGCATTTTGGAACGCTGCCAAATTTCATAACGAGTGACCAAGCATATTTTCGTAAAAGGGTCACACGTATTTCGAAACGCAGTCATGAGTGTCGCAATGATTTTGAGACTAGGTCGCCAATGTCCGGGTGTTTTATTTGCACCTGATTTTTTCGAGCTTGTTATCCCAGAATGTGGCTTTTAAATATGTTGTACTCCTATTAGTCGCTCTTAGAATGATGCCAAATTGCGTAATAGCGTGACTTGAGCTAAATTCATCTATGTTCTCAACTCTTAGTAAAAATGCTCTAATTAAGAACAGTCACTTTAGGATTATCTTGCTTACTCGCGTAGACAAGAGAGTGCGTGAGTAACTTGGTCTGGTACTTTTGGAAGCTATTATCTAACAACAGACTTGCTTTTGCTTGTGTAACTGGGTCCCGCTGGTGCTTTCAACTGAGTGTCGGTGTGTAAGCGGCACGTAGGGCAATTCCGTTGGGCAGGGAAACAGATATTGTACGTTTGGGGCAGTCCTCAGAATTGAAAGTCCAAAAGTGGCCATGTACGGCAATTTGAGAATACGCTGTAAATGCCCTAATTTTACGCGCATAAGGCGCACTTTTTCGAATTTTCAAGCGAGCCGCTCAGCCGCTTCAATGTATTCCGGAAAGAAATCCTTACATCACACGGTTCTCTCAAGCAATATACAGCACATTACAGGGTCCTTTGCTTGTTAAGTCCTTTGGCTTGTCTGGGCTGGTCGATTTGAAAAAAATTCCCTCGCTTTGTGAAATTAGGTTACTTGATTTCGTTGTTTTTCTGTAGAGTCGTAAGGTTGGTATTTCTTATACATACGGTTTTCAAGCGGGCACATAGGGCATAAACTTTCTTTTTGAATAGTTACTATCGGTCTATAAGCGGCATGTAGGGCAATTCCGTCGGGCAGGGAAACAGATTTCTGTACGTTTGGGGCAGTTCTCATAATTTTTAAACGGTCTTCAAACGGCACGGGCAACGGGCATAAGCTGTCTTTCAGATAGATAATATTGGTTTGCAAGCGGTACGTAGGGCAATTTGATCGAACAGGGAAACAAATTTTTTGTACGTTTATGCAGTTCTTATGATTGAGTCTTTAGGTGGCTCAGTAGTCGTGCTTTTCGGGGAGGGATCTCCTTTTGTAGTAAAGCTTCATATCCCTTTGGCGAAAAAATTGAAGGATATTTTGACAAAGTTCTTAGACGATTGATTTCGTTGCTTTCGAATTGATTCTGAGAGGAAAGCGTTTTTGTAGTACACATAATTGTTGTGGGTGCATTTCTACTTCCAAAACAATTGGTGTTCTGCTACTTACTTAACGATCTTTTTGGAACTTGTTGAGAACTACTGGAAGAGCAATCTTTGAAAGTGTAGAAAAGTGGGGGGGGAGATATCTGAATGTCTCTGTGATGAGGGGAAATTTGCAGAAAGAGCGTGGCAAACGAGAGGAAAATAATATTCTCCATGCATGGTTGTAGCAGGTCGAGAAATGCTGAATGATTTGTGGAGATTATCGCTTCTTCAAGCAGTTCTCCTTTAGTAGAATGCTTTTCGCAAAAATGTTGTCAGGAAAGGAATAGGAAACTCATTTAGAAATTATAATCACAACTTAGCCCTTATATTGTAACTGCCCCGACCCACGTGCTAGCGACCCGTAGGGTCGCTAGTCATATTATTAATTCGTGATCGAGATTGGCTTTGAAGGCCAGTCTAAATCGTAACTCTCAAAGCGGCTTAATCAACATCCACAAATGTAATGGAATGTAAGATATAGCCCACAATTAGAATTAAAGTTTCAGAAATTCTTAGTCACGAATTCATTATATAAGCTGCTGGAACGGGCAAAAATTTGTTAGTGGAGTCTCATTTCGTGTCTTTACGAGTTCCCAGATCTGAACTCGCCCTTAAGATTTTGAATTTTCTATATGAAAGAAAGAAAAAAGCAGGAACATTTCGCTCAAAATCTCTTGTTCTCATGCTCTTACTTAAATCTGCATCAACCCACTTGTTGAATAGTACGATGTCTGGTAGCCAAACTTTGTCAGGAGGGACTCGAATTGTTTCTGAAAATAAATACAGGGCCGTAATAATCTTCATGGCCATGAAGTATGAGGTCGCAAGCTAAGCTCGAGTTCACAATCAGCTTCATCCTGCAAGCCATTAATCTATTTGCCGGCTACCTTCATATAACGAGTATGTCGATAGCTGATGCGTCACGTCTGACGGTAAACGGATACTTAGTGACCGTGGCCTTTCGATATGTGACATGCGTCATAATATTGCCTTGAAACATTGGTCGCAAAAGAGTATTTGTTATTTGCGCAACGATTCTTCGAAAAACCATATCTCCTCGCATCTGACGTGTTTGTGGTAGAGTAGAAGTAATATCGATATGTGCTCAAGGTGTAGAGCGGTTCGCGCTGACGATTATTGCACAATAGATGCTGCAGTGATCTCTGGACTTCTGTCAGTGCGAATATTTTTGCTTTTGCTTCCACGAGCGCTATTTTTTCTCAAAGCGTTCCCGGATAACGAACATAGTTTCGAGGTCACCGTTTCAAGACGAGCTTCTGATGTATGACAGACCTCAAAAAGCCACAATTGTCACATATCCTTCCCTTGTAAGATCACGATATACTCGTGATGTAGAGTTGACCGGCAAATACAACAATGGCTTGCAGAATTAAAATGAGCTCGACTTAGGTTGCAACCTCGTACGTCACGTCCAAGATTACTACGGCTTGTAGCATGTTGCTAACGTTGAAAGCAATACTTACATCAGAATGGGCATTATCATCTAACGTACATACCTATGCCTCCGTACATTCTTGGATCCCAACGCATTTGATAGTCTAGCCAGCGCTGTAAGATTTATTCTTACTTCGAAAAGATCAATATTTCTTTTGCGACTAGTTAAAGCCTTGAAGACTCACCATTGTTGGCCAGACATTTGTGTGCATAATCTGATTTTTCTCATCGATGTTTATCAGTAGCACTAATGCTAAGCTAAATGCAACCTAAAATAGCGATGCTAACAAAAACCTAATGTGTTTTGGGCTCACCTCAATAGGGGGCGATGTCGCATTCGGGACAGGTCTTATAAGCGAATTATATCCGTTGAATAAATCAGCAACTAGACGATCTTCATCCCGCGATGAAAAAGTGACGGGGATTAGAACTGAAATGTGAAGATCAAAAATAGCTCACTGAAAAGCTTCAGGTCATACAGGCCTTGTTCATCAACTGAAAATGTAATTGTGATTGTAAGAGATTTACTGCAGGCTGAGTTTGATCTGCAAGTGCAAATTTGATATTTGCATTCGAAAATCTGTTTTTGGCATTTCAGCGGTAGCTAATTAATCGCTTTGAATCAAGATTAGCTGAAAACTTAGAGATTCCGTTCGTTTGTATCACTGAGCTCACTTTCGTGACTAATTGAAAGTAAAACAAAATGATATCACTTGATAAGAATGTTTCTATGAACGAATGAATCGTAGATCCTGACTCCATTTCGTCTTATAATTTTGAGGAGTCGAAGAAGATTACGAGTTATTTCTTTTCTCAAGATAACAACTGAAAAACTTTGTATCTTTGAAAGTCTGACATTTCAAGTAATGCAAACCGCACCGATTTTTTGACTCCTAGACGTCTGCAAGTCTGAAACTAATCGCTTTCATGTTGAAGCCTGGAACTATCCAGCCAGGCTTTTGAGATGAAAAAAGGGAAAAAAGGGGAATTTTTCTGCAAACAAAAAATCTTTTACTTTTTTTTTCATATTTAGACATTTGAAGCACGATTCAAGACGCTACCCACTACATTGCTTTTGTATATACTAAGTTTGAATTTCTTAAATTGATATTTTTCCAGTGTTTATTGTATACAATGAGCCAGGAATTTGCATTCAAACATTAGCTCTCATTGATCTTTCAGAATCGGTAATGTAAAGTAAGATTGATCAAATGAAAGCTTTCCTTTTGAATTTTTTAAATCTTGCCATCTTGCAAGTTTGGCAAGAAAATATACAAGCCACCTCTTGATAAGATGTGCCAGCGCCGTTTCAGCGCTGTGCCGCGACTGTATCGGCGGTGGTCATGGGCTCCGGTGCTTTGTTGGAACGGTGCCGGCACAGCGCCGGCACGCGCATAACCCCTTTTTTCTTCGTGATTTTCTTATTTTGAAGCTTTCTGTCAATATGTATCTGTTCTTGTGCTAAAGTGTAACAGCATAGTTATTAAATAAATAACTAGAAATGGTTCTCAAAAATTTATTTGATAAATAATCTGATACAATATAAATTATGTTAAATAAATGTTGTAGGGACTGTAAGCTCCTCGTCCGTGTTATTCATATATTTGATGTTGAGTTGCTTGATAATCTAAAATTAAGGCAATCATTTTTGGATACATTAAACATAAAAAAAAAGTTAGTGAAATAAAAAACCTTTTCTTGGTCAACAAAATCAAACACATGCGGAGCAGAGCAGATTATGCCCAACGTTCCACCAAGGGTGACCCCAAAAAACAATAATAGTAACAATCTGTCGATCACCATCGCAACATATTTCCAATCGTCACGGATCTAAAAACTAGCCTTTTATCTTTCAGTTTATGTTATGATAGAAAACTATCTTACGATAATGTGAAAAAACTGTTATGAAAACTTTCCGGCCAAAATTTTTCCTAATAAGTTTAGTACTGAAAAAAAGTTCTTCAAAAGATCATCCTGACCTTTTTGTCACTCATTTCTGCTTTCATATGCTCAGCAATGTAAGCAATTGCTTCCACAGTCGTTTTCATCTCTCGAGTAATGCGCGCAGCATAGCTCTCCCTGTTTTCATTAACATCTTGCATACAACATTGCTCTGGACCACTCTGCTAAAAAAATCATTTTGAGAGCAGGGTCAGGAAATCTAGGTACCAGTTCTCATATAGAAACTGATAGAGAAGCCTTATCTAGGCTACTGCACAAGCGGCAGTTCATAAGAATCATTTCTGAGCATGAAATTCAACATTAGACTCCAACCCATACCGTAATCTCAACATCGAGAACGGTAAAAAGTACGGTTTGAGCTGGAGTTCAAAGCTAAATTTCTGCGCCAAGATTGGTCCATGTGACTGCCGTTCGGGCAGTGGCTTCTTAAACGCTTTAAAATTTGTTTTGAGATAAGGAAAAACCAAATACTCAGATTTGCCTATGATTCTTACAAAAAACTAAAAGCTCTTAGAAATTGCTGCATCTTACTTCGGTTCGTTTTCTCTTGGAAGATAGTTTCTTAGACAAGGATCTTCTCCATTTAGAACAATTTTGATGGTGTTGCTAAAAGTATTCTTTTAGCAGAAGTCTCGAGTTTTTTCGATCAAACCTCCGCCTCACAAGCTGAATCCCTTCTTCTTGTTTCTGCTACATGTAAAAATGGCACCATTGTAGCTGTCATTGACGGCATTATAAGACCTGAATTCTATAAGTTAGGGAAGATAATCCCATTTGAAAATTGTCAGTCATGAAAGTGACATAGTCAAATGTATGGAAAGGAAATGATGAAGAATGCGGATAGCAAGTGAGAAACTTAAGATCCAAGCTTAGTGTCATTCAATAGTTGGCATTCTCATTCTATACAAAAAAGGCTTGCCTTTTTTCCCATTGTGACAGTGACACTTCCTTCGTGATCCTGTGTATTTTCAGGATTGGTTTACATGAGAGAAGTTTAAGATTTTTTCAAAGCAGTCAAGATTCTTATTCTAGTCAGGCAATAGTTCACTATATACATAACATTGCACAAAAGATTTTTTTTTGTATGGAGGACGAAAGGTGGAGGAAAAGAATGCGCAACCAGAGCCCGGCACCGATGGTTTGGGGCCAGACTGGAATTCGTTTTTGGAGTTAGAATCAACGGGGACATCGTTTTTAGAGGTCCTGGAGGAAGCGCCAAAAAAAACACGACGAACATGTCAGGTTTCACGAGTTGAACGTGTTCTTTCGCAAGCGCGCGAATTTCAAATGCAAGACTCAAAGAAACAAATGGCTTGTTTACAGCGCCAAACTATCACATGGCTCCGAATTTGGGCTATGAGTATACAATATTACTCCAAACTATGTTATGTAAAAAGTTCCTAAAACTTATGTGACCTAATATCCGTTCTCGAATTTGTTGGTTTCTAAACCAACTACCAAACCAACTGTGTTGGTTCGGAGCATAAATATCGGAGAGTTCACATAAGTTTTAGACCTTTTTGATTTGGACGATTAGAACGGCCTAAAATCTATCATATTGTGAAGAGAGCGGATCAAACCGTTGCCTCTCCCCTTTTTTTGAGTCAAAAGTAGTATAATTCTACTCGTTGTTAGATATCGCGCTCCAATCACTTGCGGTGTCCTTTGAAATATGTGGCGAAAAATGCATCGCAGGATTGTTAAGGCTACAGATTTGGTTGGCCTAGGAGATTTTCGACATTCCCAGCATCAAAATGGTACTATACCCAATGGCAGAGCCTTTAATCAACTCGAAATGTTTTCTTTTTGCTTTTTTGTTATATTACATACCTCAAAATGCGCTTTTTTCGCTTTTTTGTTGCTATTTTGGTTGAATAAGGGTTTCCCTACTGATTTTCACGTCGAGAGGGACTTCGTAAATTTTCGCGAAGTGATGGGGAACCTCGTTTCCTAAAAACCTCCAAACCAACGCGTGCCGGGCCCTGTGCGCAACGGATATTTTTTTAACAAAAATTATCCATAACACTCTCTGAAAACAGTTTTGAGATGCTTTTACCCATATTGAAGCAAGGTTGAGCGCTGAAACTCCAAGAAACCTAGCAGAATTCATGCCCTCCCCCCCCCCCGTATAAAAATTCTTCTACAATCAATCCAAAGTTTTCAAAAAATCATTCTATTCTTGCAAAGTAAACAACAATCTCTATAACTCTAGGACCCTTTCAAATTATTTCCAAAGATCTAGCAACCTATTCTTGATTCTATCGTTCCTCCATTTGAACATATAGCAGATGTCTCTCACTGCTTTGCTTTTCTGTTTTTTTATTTCGGTAAAGGTAAAGAATCATGAGAAATGCGAAAAATAAAATTGAAAAATGAAATGTGACCAGCATATTGATTTCAAACATTGTGTCATAAAGAAGCTGCGTCTTACGATATGACTGTATGACATTGACTTTTTCAAATGTAAGATTTTCAGAGTTCTGGAAAGAAAAATTACGTATGAGGATCCTGTAGCCAACTTTTTAGTTTTTAATTTGTAAATGTTGTAAAGAGCTCTCCTACTTATCTGACTCTTTGAAGTAGCACTTTGACAATCAAGGACTTTTCCAACCTTCACAATATTAGATTAGAAATTTTTCAAAGCACCAGACTTCGAAAAAAATTACAAGTATGTACTTCCACTTACTTGCATCGAATATCTCCGAAGCACAGTACTCCTCGACGAAATATCCATTAAATATTGGTATCCGCTCAGGTCTTTTCATCATTAATACCCTGGGGAGAAATTCAAGAAATATTCTTCGCACATAATTCGGCATTTCATGAGATATTGCACTTCGAAAGTAAACATTTACTATGACAACAGTGACCTAAAAAACGATTTGATTAGAATTTTTGAGGAAATAATGAATAAGATTTACTTACCACAACTGTAGTTATATTTAGTACAAATGCCATTAGAAGATATTTACCCATCAAAGGTATGTTTGAGGTGGGAGGTAAAATCTAGAAATTAATATTTTTAGCAGATCAAATTTAGAACCGAATGTTTTACCTTAGAAACCAGCAAGAGAAACACAACCAAAGCCAGCAGTAAATTTATGGTCAATGAAATTTTCTCAGCAGAATCGGCTGGTAGATAAAAAGCCATCATCGAAAGAAATGCCATGAGAACCGTTGGAATAATCAGAATAACAGTGTAGAACAATGTTTTCCTGGAAAAAATATACTTTTCTCATTTCTTTCTCAGGATGAAGTTCACAGAAAAACTCTGAAAATGATTACCTTCGAATAACGACATGAAAGACGATTTTGCTCTCCTTTGTTTCTTTTTTGTTTATGAGATAACCGGGAACATCTGAAACTTCTTGTCCTAAGGGATGAAATTGAATGCGACATGATTGACAAGCTCTCCTTAGGGGACAATTCTTTGACTTCGTGTAAAAATAGAAGTTTTGCAACGATTCAATTTCTTTACTTTGACTTGTCATATATATTATATCAATTTTCTCACTTTGTATTCTATGAAAAATCGTATGGTGTTTTACACTCGGTAAAAGTTGTTCCGTAACTTTTGATCTTCCTGTGTTTTCTTGAAATTATTCGAAGAAAACTGAGATTAACCTTCGTTTTTACTGTAACAAAATTATGGCACAAATTAGTGCCCCTGAAGCTGAAGTTTTAGGTACAACTTTTTGATAGATCCTTCTCTGATAATTTTAAGAGCAATTTGCTTATTAGTAGCCGTGTCACAGCAAAAAATCACGCAGTATTTCCTACTTGATAAACGTTGGATTCCTCAAATTTTTTCCATCTTGCCCTGGACTAAGTTTCATTTTTTAACTAATCTTGAAACTGCAGAAAACATTTTTTGATAACAAATACGGCAACATGCACGATGGTAATATGGTCATGCCAAAGTTGAATTTTAGATGGGTGAATCCTGTGAACGTGGAGTGACAAAAGAAGCCATGGGCTGCGACAATGAAATCATCGAGTGATGTGTCATCGTTGTTAAAGGGACAAATATTGCTGAATTTGATAAATTTGATTTAGTGGATTTATGAATAGTGGCGAGGTCAACTTGGGTATCTGACTATGTGACAAATGATTGGGAAACTTTAGCTAATCCATTGGTGAGACAACAGTTTCAATGGTCTTTTTGCGGCAAAAAAATCAACATTGTTCCCACCGCGCAGCCTCAGCGCCCTCGAATACGGTGGAGTACGGTCAGAGTGGAAATGCGTACGAGCTGTCGCTTAAACAATGGCAGTTAAGGCCTCTCAGTCATTCCCAATTCCCGATTTGCCTGATAACTGGCTATATAATAAAGGAGGTACAGATTTATGCTGATGTGCACAAGGGGAAGAAACTTTAAAATCTCGTGTATTCCTTATAAAACTATAGGAATTATTTGAAAAGCATTTGCTTGAGAATACTTTTTAAATCATGCATTGCCTTTATTATAACCTACGACATTTGGAGATGAGTGGTAACCTTTGATTCAACTGGCCTGGCGGCTGGAAGGCGGGGCTTTGTGACCTAATTAGGCCGCTCGCACCTGCTACACAATATACGTCTCTCTCGTGCGCGTGTTCTCTGATTGCTTAGCTTCGGTTAGGTCACGAAAACCCCGCCTTCGGGCCGCCAAGCCAGTTGAATCAAACGGTATGTACATTCCTAAAAAGTAAAAAAATCAAGGTACCACGATATCTGACCTATCACATCCCATATTCCACTGTACGAATAATCTGTCAGTTGAACTGCTTTTATATTGTTGTACCAATTGAGCACCACCTGAAAAATAATTTTCATAGAAGAATTAGAATTTGTAAGCTATACCTCATCTGAATTATATGTCCAAGAGCCAAAAACAAGTGTGCAACTTTGCTCATCAAATGGGAACCTGAAACATTCTCTTGAGGTTCGGCGCACAACTAAGAAAAGTTTTTTATAGAGAAGATTTATAAATTTGGAATCACAAGAGCGCAGACGAGTCGAAGAAGATTTACTTGACAACAATTTCAGCTGCTGAGAGAAATTAGATATTTATCCTTGCGTTTTTCGGAGCGAAGTGATTTCAGTTTTTCAGTTCCTACGTTGAACATCCATGAAGATTTTTGAACTATGGTATGCAAGACTGATCAAAAATAATTTATTTCGAGAGAGGAATGCTCCTCTAATGATATAAAATAAAGCGATATATGAACTATAATGCACATTCATTTATCAAAATACAATAAATAAGTCTCATTTTCACATTAATAGACATTTTTTAAGCAAATGACATTTGTCTTTTTTTCCTGTTTTTCCGTTAATCTCATCATTCAACATTCCGTCTAACAAATGAACGTATGTAATGAAAGCTTAGCTGTCGTTCACATTTGTGTGCGTGTTTTCTCCCCGAAGGTTTTTCTATTTGCAAAGTTAATTAGACTGACCATTCAACATCTATGCGACAGCTGCTCTTGAACATTGCCGGCGGCACCCAGGTGACATCTCCAGTCGAATCGACGAAAGCATTCGAGCGGAACGAAACTTCGTAGTTTCCATCGGCACTGAAGTGAGAATTTGGAGAAGTTTTTCTTAAAATGGAAGCGTTGAACATAGAGGAAAACGAAAAACAGCTTTGCAGCTAAGTTCTGAAGGATCACGATAAAAAGATGCTGATTATACTGCTATCTTTTACATGAGCAAGGTCTCTGAGCAAATCTGGCTTCCAGGAAATCTTTTAAAAACTGATTGGGAGACCTAGAGTAAACTGTTGCAGAAAGTTAAGTGCATATGAACAATTTGTAGCAGAGAAATCAAACTATGAAGTACGAGGAGAGACGAGGAGAGATCGGAGTTCCTACACTCCGTCTAAGGGCAGAGACGATACAGAGCTAGGGTACTTCTTTTACAAAATTGGTTTTGTCACAATAATAGTTTTGTGTACTACTATTTCTGTTTCTATCACTAAAAAACTTGTGAGTGGATCCGGCATTTTCAATTACGGCGTGCGTGAGTGCATGAATTTGAAGTTAAATCTCTAGATTTCGATTAATTCATATGGGATAACTCTTGGGCAATTTAAGGCCCGGCGATAAGTTTCCACATAAGCAGCAGAGTACGCAAAATTGGCTTTATATGCTTTTGAACCTATATTTGGAAGTCTCATGCCTATTCTTAGTGACATAACTACGAATGTTTTTGTGGGTCTGGAAATGGGTCCTTCGTGAAGTACCTTCTTGTCGTCTAAAAGCCATGTTCTTCTAATTTTACGCAAAGCGCAACCCGATTCGTTCCAAACCTTTCAACTCTTTAACATCAAAATATGAACCAAATCATCACATCCACGAGTAATTTACGTGTTTTGTCTCTACAGAATCCATCCTTTGTTGTCTCTAACCACTCCTGTATTTTGATAGTTCCCTTTCAAACATGAGGGAATCACCAAATGCTTTTTTTCCAACACTCTAACTGTGCTGCCATTTATCAAGACTAGCTCAATATCCGCTTGCATTTCGTAAGCGATGTTTGCAGTAAATCAGCTTTCAATAAGCGTTTATTTGTGCCTTATTTTATAGCCAAAAACAGTCTTCTATTATTTGGAAAAGCAATGCACTCGATAGCAGTGTTAGTTTCACCTCCTCTATCTCGATTCGTCTACAAATTTTTGCATTTCACCCAAGTGTTGCAACCTTGTAAGAAAGATTCGTTGGCTGCACTTGACAGATGGCTTGCTGTTTCTTCTAACAAGGAAAGCTTGTTTAGTCGAAGTGGCCTTTTTAGACGGAATGTATACCATACTGAAGGGCATAAAATGCTGATTCCAAATCTGCCTTCCTTACTTGCAAAACATTCATTGACGAGAAGTTAATAACGCTTATTGGAGCCAAGAATCGAATGTGCAAGTAGGACAAAAACAGCCGCAAGACTTTCTCTAGCTCTTCATTGGAGCAGTGATAATCATTAGAGCACTTTATTCAAAAAATACTCTAAAATAAAAAAACCACACTTGCTTGATCGCACTATTTGAGGGCTAGTAAGATTTGCAACTCATTTTATCCAAAGTGCACATTCAATTTTTGGCTCCAAAAACGTGAATAACTCCTCGTCCATAAATGTTCTGCAGATAAAGAAAGCAGATTTGGAATCAGCATTTTGTGACCTTCAGTATGCTATCTTCTCATATAGGAAAGCCACTTCGATCAAACAAGCTTCCCTGGTAAGGTAGGAAAGCGGTACGATACTCAGAGTACCGTAATGCTCGGAGAAAAAATCGAGATTTGTTAAATGCCGAAATGCATCTAAATATTTCATTTTGTTACTATGGCGAACAAAGCTATGATGACAAATCTTTTTAGGACCTGTTAGCAAATTTTTTTCCACCTTTTGAAGCGGACAGGAGCTGGCACTTGGTGAAAACTAGTAAATATTCTAAAAGCAAGCTTTACAAATGCTCCGCGCCAAAAGAAAACAATGTGTTTACGTTTCATAGTCATGGAATCCTTCGCATATACGAACTTCTTTCAAAACTTTTCCTAGCTCCGTTCACAAAACGTAAATCGCCACGACAACTACGACCCGCTTTATGAGATTTTGGCCCGCTCCCGACTGATTGTTCCCCATGGAAATTCGTCAATTTGCACATGCGAAAACTGGCGTCGTCGCTTTTCGAATTGTTGATTCGAGGATAGGAGAAGGAGAGAGAGAAGAAGTTACTTAGGAAAGTAAGAATCAGAATGAGAGATAAGTAAAGGCACTGGGGAAGTGTTGCTTATGCGGAAAGTACTTGAAAGTGCACCTACTTGTTGAATAATACAATATCTGGCAACCATACTCGGTCCGATGGCACATGGAGGTTTGAAATGTTTCCTGAATTATTTAAGCAATTTGTACAGCTTTTCAACTAACTGCAAAAAAATCTCCTCAAGAAATACCTCGAAGTATCATATTCAAGGGTGTTTGTCAAAAAGCGTGAGTCTACAATGAAATTTTGAGCAAAAAAATCGTTATGATTCTCCAAAAATTCTTGTGGAGCTTTTACGTCAATGTGCAAGATTGAACGAAGTTTTACTTCTACACTTTTTTATGTAGTCCTCAACTTCAGGAAAGTGAAACTACTTTTTGTAGATCTCCAATTTGCTAGCTAGCTACTTTTTTAGGCTAGGTCTGTAAAATATGTGTAAATAGAATTCGCAAGCGTTTAAAGTAAGTTTTCACACTACTAGAGAAATTTTTTCTGAGATTTAGCAAAATTAGTGTTTGAAACTTACCATAATCGAGCGGATTCCATCGCAACTGAAAATCGTTCCATTTCATTGTCAGCCATACGTTTGTTTGTAGAATTTGATTTTTCTCGTCCTGCAATTGTTGAAAAAGAAAATAATTCCATAATAAAACTTGAAAATATTGTTATCTTCACTCAGCTTACCACATTAATTAAGAGGATCATAGCAACGCCAAAGTCGACAGTGACTGGAGGACTGAAAAAAAAGACGAGAATTTTGAGCAAAAAATGCGACATGAGATTGCCTTCAATCTACTGTTCTCATTCAAGTGTTTGATCTCCGAGAAAGAATGGATAGAAGGTAGAAAAAAAAACAAATTTTTTTGACAGAAAAAAATTAGAGTAAGTGCTTCACTGCCCAAAAAGCTCTGTAGCGCGACTAAATCCATGAATGTATTTCTTGCGCAAACATGACAATTTTTCTTTCACCTGCGAAAAAAAATTGTTATGCACATTTTTATCACTGATAGGAGGAACATTTTCGACTAGTCTGAAAAACGAATTTTGGCCAAGATAAGGATTGAGCCAAAAAAGCAAAAACAGCAGAAATAAAGGTGCCGGTGATCCACTAAATGATTTGTAAAAAGATCGTCCATGGATTTACTCATTTGGGAAAACATGTAGCACATTATTCTATAATTCTATTATAACTATAATAGAAGGTGAAAACTTTCATAAAGAAGAAGAGGGACAACTTAGAATTTGATTAACTTCACTGCTCATTTTTCTTGGTCCATTTTATTTTACAAGACTATTTAAATTCCTATGCAGTAACATCCAAATAAACAAATTTTCCATCTCTTTTTGATGTTCTTATTCTCCAGCAGATTATTTGATGTCAAAATAAGCATACAAATAAATAAATGCATGTGTATGTATAAGCCACAAGTCATGCAGTTTAGTTTCCAGAGTTTATAAGCAGAGCATTTCTCAAGGGAAAAAAGGCCGCTCAATCGCAAAGGTTGAGTTTCAAAAAAAAATTTTTTTTTCTTTTTCAAAATTTCAAAATTATCTCCCTGCACTTAGGTTTTCAGCACTGATTATAACTTCTCCGCTTGCACAAAGCAAGTGCAAAACTTTTCTTCGTTTGGTGGGAAATGGAAAAAAAACTTTAGTGGGAAATGGAAAAAAACGTCTGCAGCAGATTCTTAGCTTTCCTTCTTTCAAAAAGTAGAAGATGCTTTTTCACACTACTTAATGCTGATTTTGTGAAGATAAAAGAGGAAAATGTCTTTAATTAAAAAAAGAAAGGCAGAGTGGATCTGAATGTTTGTATCGACTTATGAACTACCGAAAAGCCTTAAAAGTGTAAAAATTTGACTTCTATTTTATCCGAAATGGACTGTTGTAACTGGATTAAATATGCAAAAATGATAATTTTGTAAGTAATAAAGAGATCTTGTTGACACGGATCCATACTCATTTTTTCAAATATCTATTGTATAATTAATAGAAAAAGCAGAATAGATCAAAAATAGCAGCCTTCCTTACCTCGTAACATTCCGAACTGGTCTAATTAATGAGTTATAATCTCGAAATAGGTCAATTACCAAACGTTCCTCATCTTCTCCTTCTTCAAAATCACCTGAAATGCAAATATTTGGAGAAAATACAAGATCGCTATTATTTATATTCAGGAAAATTAAAATTTCTCTTGTAAGACTGAAAAGATTTGCAGGACAAGTACAGTCAACAAATTTTGAAAAAGTGATAGCTTAATTCAAAATTTTTTAAATATTAGACATAGCTATTGACTATTTTTGTTATTATTATTCTTGCCACTACTAATTTCATTATTTTTCTTGTAATATATATATAGATGCGTTTTTTGCTAATTTTTTTCAGTATAGCAATCTGAACTCACTAGCACTGAATCTCCTAGTCGATTCAGTTGAATCCTCATCAACAGCCTCATCTTCTGCCCTATTTTTATTGAACTCTCTGGCATTTGAGGGTTTCGAATGGCAATGTACTGACGAAAAGCAAAACAATAAGGTCAGAGCTGTCAGCGGCAGCATTCACATGGATTTTCAGCGCAGATAGCTGGTTACAGATGAATAATGAAATGTTTCCGTTGTCGGATTCGTTTGGACTGGGAAAAGCGAGAAGACAGTAGTGTCCGCCCACAAGTGTGAATTCTTGGTTTTTTCTATAGAAATGGGCGTGGCGAATGGGCAGTCCCACGGGGATTTTCGAAGACAAACGCGTGGAGGAGGTTTGACATTTTGATGGCCGATCTGTGCTGGCACATGTTGGCAATGGAATTTTTGCTTAGTAAATACGAATTCACTTGGCAATGGGGAAGGGAGCAAGCCCCAAAAAAAGATTATTCTTCCGTAAATTAGAGCATATGATAGCTTAAACCTTATACACAAAAAATCCGCACAAAATTCGAATTCATGAAGAAAAGACGAGGTGAATTTGCAGCTCCACATTAGACGCAAAAGTGCACAACTTTTTTCCAGCGCCGTTTCATTAAACTTAAAAATTGCATTGTTCATTGAGAAGATATCGCATTAATGCGCTTTGCAAGCGCTCATAGATGAGCTACTGCAAAACTCAGCTAATTTACTATTATTTTTATCTATGAAACAATCTAAACTTCAAATTGTGACTCTTGACATTTTTAGGGATCGAACTTTGTTTCTAAGCTTTCTATATGACTTAGCTGTCCATTTTCTGTTTATCGTTCAGGAGATGTGCCTAAACGAATGTGTGAACTGAGTGTAGCATGCTAAAACGGCTGAGCAAGAATTTCTTTCAAACAAGAAAGGTCACCATATTTGTTTTTTTTCGCATCGAAGGGCTCACAGTTTTGGTTTTCGGAACTTGAATCTCACCGATTAATCAGGTCGTAAGATGCAGGATTCGACCTTTGAGACCGATGGGTTTATTGTATCTGTATTCGAGTGTCACAATTAAGATCTGCACAAAAACCTTTGCAGTAATAACGAAGCTTTCCTTATCTCTTCCTGCTCGGCTGAATCCTCGCTCACTAATCGAAGATAAAAGAAAAAATTTTTTTAGCCTAGTATGGATAGTGGAACCCCTTCTAAAATCGAGAGCTAAGGCAATGAAGTGAGCGAATTCATCATGTAAATGGTAGTTAATAAAAATTGGAGCAGCAAGATACTGTATGCCATTGAATGTAGAAATATAACACAGCTACGAGTCGATCACAAAATAACTGAAATTTTTAAGGGAAAGAGCCGAAGGTGTGGGGTGACACAAACTTCTTTGGAATAAAAGTGCGTGGCAATAGTCACATCTCCAAACATATGGGATATTTACCAGCACTGGGCGTAAAACCTCCGAAAAGATTTATTTGAAAGCTTATAGTGTCACAGGCTTGAACCTTTGCTATACATACAACATCTTATTATTAGTGGTTATTAGGGTTCTCCAAAGCAGCTGATAAATTTTGAATCGCCAAGAGAAATTGATTCTTCGAACCAATTTTGGCTAACCACCAGATAGTCACATCCAGGGCTCGGCACAGCTGGTACTGGGTCGAGCTGGATATCTTTTTTGGGACGAAAAGCAAAGGGGATATCGTTTTTGTGGCTGAAAAGACGCGAAAATTGCGACGTTTTTCAGTCCAAGTTTCGTTTTTTTGGGAGGTTTTTTTACGTTTAGGGTTCAGGGTTAAAGGGGACTTCGTAAAATTTTGGGAAAGTTGAGGGGGACTTCGTTTCAAAATTTCACAAGAAAGCTCTTGCCAGCCCTGGTCACATCACAAATGCTTAATATCATCAACGCGTGCACGTATCTACAGCGTGTTTGTTTCGCTACAAAGCCGCAGCAACTTTTTCAACTTCCATGACTTACCGAACTCAACCCCATGCTAGTCAGATCAATATTAACCATAGCAGCTTTAAACTGTGAACCACTGTCCCAGGCAGATATAATTAGATAGAACATTTATGTGAAATTTAATAGGAGGTACTAATTGAGTCATCGTTCGAGCAGCAGTTCAGAAGATGCATTCCTGATTGTACAGTTCTGTACACTTGCACAATATCGTAGCGGACTTCAACTAAACCATTGACCAATAAGGAGCGTGGGGTGGGGGGGGGGGGAGGGGGAATTTACAAAGGTCTATAAAAATTTACTGTGGCTTGAACACCTGCACAATACCTTAGCGATCAATTAGCGTCCTCAAATACGATGCTGGGCAAGTTCTAAGCGTTCAATTTCTTGGCTTCGATTAATCATTGTAGAATCCCCTCCCCCTTATGGTCTTTTAGTTAAAGTCTCCCAATCAGTACCACATGAAAAGCTCAGAGTACCCACGGCTACACACTTCCGCAGGCTTCCAGTACTTTTCCAAAAGTTTTTTTAATTTGTAGCGCTCACCTTCATAGTATTAGCAGTGACTTCTATTTGGAAGTATTTTTCATCAAGACGAAGTCCATTCGCAAGCTGTTGTTGCCTGTAATGAGTATATCTCTTGGTTTATATAATTAACGTTGATAGGTCAAAGCGAACGCAAATTTCCCACGACTACGACACCGGACTAGATACGAAAGAAATTATAAAACAAATCAAAGAAGGATAATACTGGCAGCGATGATACTCGTTCGCGCAATCATTCCATTGAAAGTCATCTTTGAACAAGTATATAAGGTTTAATATTTTCTGTCTTTCTGACAGAAAAAACACTGATGGCCAGTGTAAACCACGGTTCTGTGTGCAAGTAGTTTTAGATTTCATTTATTGTCCCTGTGCATCTGATTACATTTGAAATTTAATACCTACTTGTGAAACAAAATCTCTCTAACCATAAGGTTCATGTGAATCAGAGCGCAAAAAGCGCATTGTTCCAATGTCGAGACAAAACTACAGGGTGACCGACAAATATGGGCGTCACATTTTTGTTTGCAGCGATGTTCAACACCTGCACGCTTGGAGGACTGGCACCTGCACCGAGGTAACTCGGCTGTGCGCTCCTTGCTTGCCGCAGGGCTGAGGAGACACTTCGCGGGGAGTTTCTTTTTTGCCGACCCCTGGGTGAGATCTTTGGCCGGTGTGTACTCTGCCCATTGTACTGAGTTGCTTGTGTGTTGGTTTAATTAAGGATAAATGGTGAGCACCTTGAAATGTAGTGTTTTGACTCTTGTGGTAGCCATAGGCTCAGACCTTGGCACAGTTATATCTGTATGCTGTTGTGTTTCTTGTATACTCATATCTTGTAAGGATCCATCCGTCGGAAGACCAGGCACGAGGCTAGCTAGTGCCCCAAGTTGCAAGTAGACACAAGTGTCCTTGAATGAACGGCTCGAGCTGGCTGGCAGTAGGCATTAGGGGGTTGGTTGGTAGCTTAGGGCCTTTAATTCGTGTGCGTTGTGCTCGTGGCAGGCCATAATAGCGTGACGCAAGCTAGCTACCATTTCCTCATGTGTCGTTGTTCTATTTCACGAATGTCGTCCTCCGCTCCTGTCGGCGATGCAGGAGAGCACGTTACCACTGACGTCTGGAGCGGGGGACCCTATTCCGCGACACCACCCCAAGGAGTCTAGAGCTTTTGGCGCTTACGATAGTAGCTTTTATCAAGCCAATGCCCAAGTCGCGCCGCAAAATCGCTTCGGAATAGCGAAGAGGCATGTGGGCCTTGAGTCGGCACCGCCTCCCTAGTAATGCCCGCCCATTCCTGCGCCCATCCAATCACCGTTCCGAAGAACCGGCTTGCGGGTTTTCCGGAACGGCGATTTTCGGAGTTTTCGCGTAATCTCAACTTCTCAACTATTCGGAATCAGAGACAAGAAAAGGCCCCGAAAATGACCAAAACATGGAAGTCGAGAATCTGGGTGGAGTGCCTTTAAAAGCCGTGTCTCGGCAGATTCGCCCCCTGGGGATATTGCTATGGTGGGGTTCGTGGTCATCCCACTGACCTCCAGGCACAATCCGCCTGGTTGATGTTCCCCTTGGGCCGAGAAAATAGCCCTCGAACCGCAACCCCAGTCGGGGCGCTTGGAGACTTCGCTTACCGGTCGGGGCGGGACCCCACGACCGCTCTCTCACATTTTGCATGCTATCCAAAGCAAAAATTGCAGGCCGCAAAGTCTTCGTGCCAGGGCCTCCCAACTTTCCATTGAAATTCTCGTCCAAACTGACTTTTGAATTGGGTAAACTCCACGAAAAAGGTCTTTTTCATTCATTTTAAAGCTCATATTCGGAGTCTACAGGTAGAAAAGGCCCAAAACATGCAAAAAGATGGAAATGCAAAATCTGCCAAGACACTGCCTTTAATGCAAGACTAAAGCTATAAGCTAAAGGCACATTAGCTGTTATGTTACGGTATTTCAAGAAAAAGACAAAGCATGTTGTAACGCCCAAATTTCGACAACTCTGTACAGATATACTTCAGAAAAAAGCGATGCGTGTGTAAGAAAGTTGTTTGGCATGTGGTGATATGCATTCTTCAGTGTACCGAGGGCCCCCCCCCCCCCGAGAACTGGTCGCGAAATTTTTGAAAATTACTTACATGGGTTATAAAAATGTGCAAGTGATTATTTTATTATTTTATTTATTATTTTACTTTTAATTATTTTACTTGTTTACTCTTGTAAACAATTAAAATAATTTTTAAAATTTTTTAAAAATTCAAATTAGCCTTAAAGAAATATTTTTCGGGGCGTGGCTGACGTCACGCCCTCTTTTTCAAGATTTTGGGGGTTGGGGCCCGCAAAAATTTTGAGAAGCCCCTAAATTTTTTTCGGAGTGCGTGGCTGACGCCACGCACCATCATTTGAAAAAAAATTTTGCCGCCCCCCCCCCCTAGCCGAAATCCTGGGTACGCCACTGGTATTCTTATATGCAAATCTGTGAAAGTTCGGGCAAAAACACTACACTTTTAGTTTGGTTGTCCTCTTTTCTTGAAACCTCGGCATGTCGTATTTATGATGTTGATCTTGTTATGCCAATTAACAAGATCAACATCATAAATACTACACTTTTAGTAAGTTTCCCAACAATGTATGAGAGGCGCTGTGAATTTCCAGTCAAAAAATTTTGAAAT